GTGCCTGAGGTTTACAGGTCATATAAAGGCAGCGTTTGGCACCCACTCTACCTGAGGATCTTTGTTTTCTTCTTCCTCTGTTTTTGTCCAAATGAAAACAAACAAAAAAACAACCAAAAAATCCTCTATAAATTCAACTAGATGCTTTGAAATCCCCCAGAATTTCGCTAAGCCTCTCAATGCCTCTGCAGTTTCAGGTTGGGTTTCGAAGAACGAAATGGTTCATACTTTTTACTTTGTACATATGGTGTCTGTATTTTGCTCTGAATTATATGCACTTAAGAGCAGGTAGCTGGGAATCAAGCAGACGACAGCATTTCGCGGGCACATGTGCTGGATGTGGGTAGAACCATCTCGGGGTAAAAGTCTTGAGTGCTGGTCCCGTGAGTTCAGAGCTGGCTCATAAGGAAAGGGTTTTGGTGTTCACTCTGCCAACTAATGAATGTACCACCTTCGCCCATTCTGTGCCGATCCTTCATCTCTCTAATACTCCCCACGAGTGCTCTGAATGGAAGTGAAAGCTTTTAATGCAATAGAGAGTAAATACATGGCATGCCTCCGAATTGCTATTGTGTTGGAAAACTTGCTGATTTCCAGCATTCTTTTTCTGGTCTGAAGTAGATTTCACCAAGTGGGGAGTAGCTCTCCTGCAGCGGGTGGTATTGTATTTGTAGCGCTTTCCAAGTGGGTCTTCATGCTGCTGTGTCAGCTGCACAGAGTGGAGGCGTAGTGGTAATTGAAGGCCTTAGAGAAAATCCAGGGTCCGAGTGTTGCTGGCCTTTCCCTAGGCTTTCGGCCATACCCATAGGGCTAGGGGTGAGAGATAAAATAAAGGCTATCCAGTTAAATTGGAATTTCAGATAAGCAACAAATACTTTTTAGGATAAACATATCCTGCACAATATTTGGGGTGTATTTATGCTAAAAAATTTATTCACTTATTTGAAATTCAAATTTAACTGAGTGTGTTGTTTTGTTTTGTTTTCCCTAAATCTGGCAATCCAGGTTAGAGGGGAGGAGAGGCAGGGGTTGGGTTTGTGCTTGATGTTGCTGGAATATCACAGCAATAAGAAACTTCCACCTCCTCAGTAAAATTCCCTCCCTCCTCTAAGTTTGGCAATGCAGGAAGACTCAGGACTGGAATTCCATCAGACTCAGACCAGAAATTCCATCAGTCTGCCAACATCTGGGACAGGGTGGGGCTTGTGATGTGTGCAGTGGGTGCGGTGAAGAAAGGAAACTTCCTTTGGCTGTCTTCTCTTTGTGCCTCTGGGTCCCGCAACACATGTCCTCCTCTAATGTCCTTGCATCAGTGGCATAACAACTACCATGTTGAAAAGAATTATTGAAAAGGCTCCTCTTCTAGGGAATGTCCTCAAGGGGAATTCCTTTTCCATGTCATGCTGCCAGCCATGGCTCCAGCTGTGAATAGTCTTCCCTCAACTTCTGTATTCCCAGGTTCCCCTTCCCTTGGGGCTCTCAAGTGCTTTACCGTTGTCCCACCTACATAGGCCTAGGGAGGGGCTCTGTGCCCTCTCCAAGACCCTGGCTTCAGAGTCGGTATAAAATCCTTCCCCTGATTCCTGGGAGCTTTGCTGACCCTGTAAAACAAGGCTTTGCTACAAAATCAGGAAGGATAAAAGTGAAACCGAGAGAAACCAGAACCCAGAGATATGATCTGGGATCAGTGTTTCTCAAGCTTCCCTAAGGACAGTTTCCCCTGAGGTGCTTGATTGAATGTGTGCATAGATTTCCTTGTCTCTCTTCTAAAAATTCCAATTTAGAAAGTCTGGGCTGGGGCCTGGAAACCTGCTTTTTATCGGCATTCCAGCTGATTCTGATTTGCAGGAGAGTTGAGACCCTTGGAAGCAGCTATGTGATGGGTCATTCTCGTTGCCTCTTCCCATCCCAGCTGCCTCCACGTGAGACCTAGCACCTGGGAGCCTGGGTCTGGCCTTTGATCTTCTGCGTTCCCTAGGCCATTTATTCCCAAACTCCAGAGATTTTAAGAAATGCCTGGTTTTTTTGTTGTTGTTGTTGCTAAAAATGCAGATTCCTGAGCCCCATTCCAGGAGATTCTGATTCAGTAGGTCTAGGGTAGGGCCCCGAAATCTGCATTTTTAAACTTTAAGGAATTCTAATGTCAGTAATCTCTGGACCATAGTTTGAAAAAAAATTGTTCTTGACAAAGGAGAGAAGGATACTCAGGGTGATGTCAGAGCCCTTTCTGCCTTCCTAAAGCCTGCCTCCTAAGTAACTGGGACTTCCCCTAGGGGACTAATACCAGGAATGACCAGGCCTTTCAGGGGAGATCACAGTTTCTCTGACCCAGCAGGCTCACCTTGCCAAGGATAATGAGACCTGAATATAACACTGTTACTTGTATTCCTGTAAGAGGTGCTCGCACAGAGGGCAGAGCATGCACTCCATTCCTGCCCTTCCACGTAGGATGCCCTTGGTTTGGGCAGTGGAGTGGACTTACACTGGTTGACCATGTCAGGCAACCTTTGACAATATGGGGAGGGACATCTAGACTGAAGATTGATTCAGAAAACACGCATAAGTTCCTAATTCCTCTAGGGTGGGACTGCAGAAACAATGGAAAAGGTTGGCTGCCTTCTAGGGTGAACTCCTCCTCCTCCTCCTCCTCCCCCTCCTCCCCCCTTCTCCCCTCCGACCCCCATTCAGTCTCCTGTGTGGCTGGCAGCGGGAATGGCTGTTGGGGAACCACACTGGTGTAGCTGAGACAGCACTTCCAACTTTAGCACTGTCAGAAAACCACCTGGAGGGCTTGTTCAAACACAGATTGCTGGGGGGGCTCTGCTGCAGGAGGTCTGGGTGGGACAGACCACATTTGGAAACTATTTCACTAAACCACTGAGTCCTAGAAAAACCACTCAGCCTTAGCAGTGTGGGTCAGCCCGCTGGGGACTCCGTTCCCTAGGCCTTTTTCAGGGTCATGAAAGTGCTGGTGTGTGTTTTGCTCACAGTCCTTCTGGATAATTTGCCTCTGTTTCCTGTGGATTCTGCCCTCCTTGTTCATCCCAGGTGGGGCCTGAAGCTGAGCCTGACCTGGAACATTCCTTGCCTGTTGCAGTGCCAGGCGAGGACAAGAGGCCTAGAGAGGGGAGGAGGTTGTTTTCTTCCTTCTCCCCTGTTCCCAGCTCCACCTCACCCTCCTTTTTCAGGAATGTGTCTCCTTGTGGGCCCTCTTGACTCAGGAATGGAGTTTGTCAGGGCTGAGTGTGTGGTATGGAGGTTAGATGGGTGTGCTTGCTGAGCACAACCTTGCTGAGATCCCACAGTCATCATGACCACCAGCCTGATGGCCGTGCTGACATTCGGTGACATGCCCGGGTTTGCCGGTTCCCTGTGGTCCTGTGCTGCTCAGGGGTTAAACTGAGCCCAATTTTGTTGCATCCCTGGGATGACCTGCAGGGAGAGGCTGGCACATGAGGAAACTGTTGAGTGACCTGAGCTGGGTATATCTTTGTTTTGAGAATCAGCTTTGTGAGGTTGTAAAGTAGAGCAATTAAGATCAGGGACCCCAGAGCTACAGGGCCTGGGTTCAAACCCAGCTCCACCATTTCATACCTGTGTGACCACATAGCACATTCTTTCCCATTTTGCATGAGAATTTGACCTTCACTTAACTGTGTATCTAGTACCCTGGGAACCTGATAAAGGGAGTACATCAACTGCATTTATGCAACATTGCTTATGATAAAAATGACGTCTTGTGATAAAAACGGACAGGGAGACCTATTCATTACCTGGTAGGAAGCCATTCTTTGTGCTTCCCTGAGTACAGTGACTCTTTCACTGGTCTGCCCCTTATGGAGACCCTGGAAGCTATGCCTGCGGAATTGTTGCAAGCAGTAGTGATGCCTGTGAGGTGTTAAACCAGGGTGGCTGCCATACCCACCTTGCCTTGTGCCATAGCTATCTTCTGGGGGCCAAAGAGAATAGCCTCTGGGTGGCTCAATGGACTGGTTCTGTGGCTGCCCTGCCCACAAGCCGTGTGTCCTGTCTTAAACCCTTCCAAGTGAATCCAGTGTCAAGTGTGCTGGTGGTAGTCTTGTGAGCCTCAATGTTTAGTTAAAAAGATCCTAGTCAGCATTATGGAATGACTGTATTTGGTTTTTTGGTTTGTTTATTTTTTAGCTCTGTGTGTATTTTTCTTATCTATAAAATGGGGATAACACTAATTACCTTCTAGGGTTGTTGAAAAGATTGTAAGTTGCATAGAACAGTGTCTAGTACATAAATATGTGCTGCTGCCATCGTCACCGCCACCACCATCATAGTTACTGCAGGGAGGCCAGGAGGCCTTTTCTCCTTTGGGTCAGTTCCAGTGTCATCTCAGCTACTAACTCCCTATATGGCTTTGGACAAATGACATTCTCTAAGGACACAGGCTGTTACAGTATATTCTACGTGCTCCATTTATTTGATGAATGAATCGGTAAAGTAGGAGAGTGAACTAAATGCTCTTTAGGGTCTTTTCTAGTTTCACATAATAGATTTTGTGTGAAAAGGAAGGTGGAGGAGGAATGGAGAGAAAGCTCCTGCAAGGGGTGGATCAGGGGTCAGAAGTCAGGAGCAGAATAAAAGAGGATGGGGTGCTGGGGGGGGTGTCCAGTAGTCCTACTGACCACCCCATAGATCCAGCCAGAGCTTAAGAGAAGAACGTAGATGATTCTGATCTGAGTAATACTTGCAGAGCCTATTTTCCAGGGCAGGTTAAAGGGGTCAAAGGGCAATGGTATGTGGCTCAGAAAAGGTTAAAATGGTTACTTTTGGTTGTTTTGAAGTATTTCTTTGAGAAGAACTGCAGAGTAGCCTCACGCATCTCTGTATTTTTCTCCTCTGAGACACCACACTGAGTGGCAGTGGGGAGGAGGACTCCTTAGCTCCCTAACCGCTGGTGCGAGGAGAAGTCAGCAATGGCCCCAGGAGAACGCTCACCCTAATGCTGTATTTCTCCCTCCCTCCTTCAGGTCTGAATGCTGGTGCTTTTTATGCCTTGTCCACTCTGCTGAATCGTATGGTGATCTTGCACTACCCGGTAAGGGAGCTCCCTGAGCGTGCTGGGCCTAGAGATAACGTGGTTTCTAAGTCTGTCTCGGCAGGAGCTGGGGATGGTTAACTCTTGGCTCCCCCTACCCCCCAAGTTCTAGGCGGCATGGTTTGGTGGTGTGCTTATGGAAGTTGGAGGGAGATGGCCCTGGGTTTCAACCCTAGCTTCGGGGGTGCTAAACTGTGTGATGATTTGACTGTGTGATAAGCTAGTTAGCATCTCTGAGTTCTCATTCTCTTTTCTGCAAAAGAAGCATAATTACTTCTTGAAAAATTATTTTTAGGACTAGAGAGTAAATAATATGTGTATATGTATATATATTCATATCATATTTATTATATATGATATATGTAAAGCATGATTTCTGGTAACACAGTTGGTAAATATATCTATATAATCATGTATGTATATGTGTGTGCATATATCTCATGATTCTGGATTTAAATGTTTCGAAAACCAGTGAGGGATGGATACTGGGAATGGGATACTGAGTGTCCCAGAGTCAGGAATACCTAGGTCCAACCCTCTTTAGAAAGGCTAAGATCTCACACATGCAGAGGTGGTAGGCCATTGTGGCTAAGTGTTCCAGTTTTGGACTTTGACAGGTCTGAGTTCAAATCCTAGCTTTGAATTTAATATATGCCTTGTGACCTTGGGCTAGAATGTTTGTCTCATTGTGCCTCAGTTTCTTCATATGTAAAATGGGAAGGAGGACTGATTCCTAACCTTATGATGGGGAATTGTGGGGATTTAATGAGATAATGATGTAAAATCTTAGGCATCATGCCTGGCTGATAGTAAGCACTTAAAAATATATAAATATTATTTTCCCATTCCTTTTGGCACTGATAGCTAAAACCCTAAAACTGGAATATTTGGACATCTATATTTTAATTTCCCCATCTGTGGTAAAAATGGGAATAATGGAATAATAAATGGGAATAATGACAAATAAGACAGAAGAGTTGCTGTAAGGGTAAATTTTTAAAAAAAAAAAATATGCCCAAAACTGGATTTAAGGACAGAATTTGGTTCATCCCTGTCACTCCACCATCTAGCATAATATCATGCACACAAATCCAAGGTTATATTTTTGGGAGGAGCAATTATTCTAGGATTTTCTTCCAGGCCATCCTCTTATAGACCATCTTGTCCTGATACTTTCTGAATATTGGCTGTCATGGAGCCCAGGTTACTTGCCTTTTCCCCTTTGCCCCACGGTGACTGCACTCTGCCCCGTGTCTTCTCCCATCGCTGGGTAATCTCTGAGGCTGTGGCTTCCTTTCCCAGGGTGAGGAGGTGAATGCTGGAAGAATCGGCCTGACCATCGTCATTGCAGGAATGCTGGGGGCTGTGATCTCAGGCATCTGGCTGGATAGGTCCAAAACCTACAAGTAAGTGACTCTTCCTCTTGGCCTGAGAACTGGGGATCCATTTTTTGAAATGACATATTCATTAGCGATATGGCTTTAAAGCTTTGCGTGCAGCAGCTGGGGATCTGAGTGGTCAAGCGGGCAGTTCACGTTTATCTTCTCTGAGCCTTAGTGTTACCATTTATAAAATGAGGGAAACTCTGCCCTTCTTGAGATCCTGTGGGATCCTGTGGGGATCTTAGGAAGATGAGAGATAGTGGACATGCAGGCCTAGAGCAGCTCTCTTCCCCATCCCTGTTCTCTGAGTAGCTTTGTGGAAGGGACAGATGAGGGAGAAATGAAAATGAATGTGAAAAAACCTTAGCAGTTGGAAAGTTTGTGGAAACCCCAAAGAGTGGAGAGGAGAAGGAGGTGATTTTACTGCCCTGTTCTCGTGGATTCTTGTGAACCCCATGGGGTTAACCAAGAAGCTCTGGGCTTACTCCAGTTTGCAATGTATATTATCTTGCAATTATGTATACCGTGTTTACTGGTAAATATCATGATGTACTTCAGACCCAAATGCCCAATGCATTTCTAAGAGCCCAGAGCCATCTTAGAAGGTTTTAGTGTTTGCCTGGCTAATTCAGGATGCTTATTAAAAATACGGATTCCTGGAAGAGGGCAGAGCAAGATGGCCAAAGAGAAACCTGCAGCTATTATCCCTTCCCACGAACACCAAACTCAACAACTATCCAGGAAAGCAAACACCTTCAGGAGAACCAAAACTCAGGTGAGTGATCATACTACCTGGTTTCAACATTATGTCAAGGAAAGACACTGAAGAGGGGCAGAAAAGACAGACTTGCATTGTCCATGCCACCCCTCCCCCATCCCCCAGCAGTGCCATGGCGGTGGAGAGAGAATCTGTGTGTCCAGGGAAAGGAGAGTAAAGTGATTGTGGGGCTTCGAATTGAAACTCAGGGCTGCCCTGCACAGGGGAACACAGCACAGGGCAGAATTCAGCTGGTGCCCACAGAGGAGCATTTTGACCAGCCCCGAAGCCCAAGTTCCCGCTAGCCCAACTACCAGCAGACAGAGAGCAGCCTATGGCCTAAATTTATAAGGCAGGCCACAAGGGCTGCAGTCCTTCGGCAATTCCTGTGGCTGTGCTGGCTTGGAGCCAGTGGACTTGGGGTGCACATGACCCAGGGAGACACCAGCAACTGCAACTGTGGCCAGACCAGTTCCTATGTCCCCCTTCCGCCAACTACAAGCAGCGTGGCTCAGGGAGAGTCATCTTCCACTTGTGGAAAGGAAAGGGAAGAGCTTAGAGGCTTTTGTTTTGCAACTTGGGTACCAGCTCACCCATAGTAAAATAAGATATCAAACAGACTCCTGAGGCCCCTGAGTCCGGGCCTTAGTTCCTGGATGGCATTTCTAGACCCACTCTGGGCCAGAAGGAAACATGCTGCCTTGAAAGGAAGGACCCAGTCCTGGCAGGATTTGCCACCTGTTGATAAAGAGCCCTTGGGCTTTGAATAAACATCAGAGGTAGGAAGATAGCAGTCACCACTGGCTTTGGGTGAGAGTGGGTAGGTTTTAGGTGTGACCTGGCACTGGTGGCCACAAGGGAGTGCCCACATCACTCCTCCCCCACCTCCGGCAGCCCAGCACGGAGAGCGAGGGAATAGAGTGAGAGACTTTGCCTGGTAATCCCAGGAATTCTCTACTATCTTACTCCAGCTCACCAAAGTAGTACCACCAAGAGTCTGCAAGAGTCACAACATTACTGGGCTTAGGGCACTCCCAGTGCTGATATGGTGCAGTGACCAAAGACTCAGACCACAACATTCAATTCCTTTTGAATATCTGGAAAGCCTTCTCAGGAAGGATGGATTAAAACAAGCCCAGACTGTGAAGATTAAAATAAATACCTAACTTTTTAATGCCCAGACATCAGCGAACATCCACAAGCATCAAGAACATCCAGGAAGACATGACTTCACCAAATGAACTAAATAAGGTACCAGTGACCAATCCTGGAGTACTGGAGATTGGTGACTTTTCAGACAAAGAATTCAAAATACCTGTCCTGAAGAAACTCAATGAACTTTAAGATAACACAGAGAAGAAATTCAGAAGCCTATCAGAGAAATTTAACAAGGAGTTTGAAATAATACTAAAAAAAATCAAGCAGAAATTCTAGAACTTAAGAATTCAATTGACAAACTGAGAAATACATCAGAGTATCTCAACAGTAGAATTGACCAAGTAGAAGAAAGAATTAATGAGCTTGAATACAGGCTGCTTGAACATACATAGAAGAGAAAAAATAAAAAAGAGTAAATAAGAATGAAGCATGCCTACAAGATCTAGAAATAGCATCAAAAGAGCAAATCTAAGAGTTATTGGCCTTAAAGAGGAAGTAGAGAGAGAGATTGGGGTAGAAAATTTATTCAAGGAAATAGAGAACTTTCCAAACCTAGAGAAAGGTATCCATTTTTGGGTACAAGACAGTCACAGAACACCAAGCAGATTTCACCCAAACAAGGCTACCTCAAGGCATTTAATAATCAAGCTCCCAAAGGTCATGGATAAAGGAAAGGTCCTAAGGAAAGAAAGAGAAAAGAAAAAAATAACATATAAGCTCCAATATGTCTGGCAGCAGACTTCTCAGTGGAACTCTCACAGGCCAAGAGAGAGTGGCGTGACATACTCAGAGTGCTGAAGGAAAAAAACCTTAACCCTAGAATATTACACACTGCAAATATAGCCTTTAACCATGAAGGAGAAATAAAGACTTTCCCAGACGAACAAAAAGCTGAGGGATTTCATCAAACACCAGACCTGTCTCATAAGAAATGCTAAAAGGAAGTCATCAGTCTGAAAGAAAAAGACGTTAATGAATGATAAGGAATCTTCTGGAGGTACACAACTCACTGGTAATAGTAAGGACACAAATACAGAATACTGTAATTGCAGTTGCATAAACCACTTACATCTTGAGTAGGAAGACTAAAAGACAAACCTGTCAAAAATAACAACAGCACCTTTTTGAAAGATAGATAGTATAAAAAGATATGGATGAAAACAACAAGAAGTTAAAAAGTGGGGAAGTGGATGGAGTTAAAGGGTAGAATTTCTGTTAGATCTCTCTTTATTTGTTTGTAAGCAAAGTTCTCATATGTTTAAAATAATTGGTTATAAAATGTTTTTTGCAAGCCTCATGGTAACCTCAAATAAAAAAAAAACCTACAATGGATACACAAAAAATAAAAAGCAAGAAATTAAAACACACTGCAGAGAAAATCACTTATAACAAAGGAAAACAGGGAGGAAGTAAGAAAGAAAGAGAGGCCTACAAAACAGACAGAAATCAAATAACAACATGGCAGTCATAAGTCCTTACCTATCAATAACAACATTGAATGGACTAAACTCTCCAATGAAGAGATACAGAGTGAGTGAATGGATTAAAAAAAATAAGAGCCAACTATATGGTGACTGCAGGAAACACACTTCACCTATAAAGACACACATAGACTGAAAATAAAGGGATGGAAAAGGATATTCCATGCAAATGGAAACCAAGAAAGAGCAGAAGTAGCCATACTTCTATGAGATAAAATGGATTTCAAGATAAAAACTGTAAAAAGAGACAACAATGGTGATTATATAATGATAAGGGGGCCAATTCAGCAAGAAGATATAGTAATTCTAAATATATATGCACCCAACACCGGAGCACCCAGATATATAAAGCAAATATTATCAGAGCTAAAGAGAGAGATAGACCCCAATACAACAATCATCAGAGACCTCAACACTCCACTTTCAGCATTGGACAGATTGTCCAGATAGGAAATTAACAATGAGACATTGGATTTAATCTGTACTATAGATCACATGGACCTAATAGATATTTACGGAATGTTTCATCCAATAGCTGCAGAATTCACATTCTTCTCCTTAGCTCATAGGTCATTCTCAAGGATAGACCATGTGTTAGGCCATAAAACAAGTCTCAAATTCAAAAAAATTGAAATCATACCAAGTATTTAATATTTTCTCTGACCACAATGGAATATAACTAGAAATCAATAGCAAGAAGAACACTGGAAAATGTATAAACACATGAAAATTAAACAATATGCTCCTGAATGACCAGTGGATTAATGAAGAGATTAAGAAGGAAATTGAAAAATTTCTCAAAAAAAAATGAAAATGAAAACACAATATACCAAAACCTATGGGATGCAGTAAAAGCAGTAATAAGAGGAAAGTTTATACCAACAAATGCCTACATCTACATCAAAAAAGTACAAAAGCTTCAAATAAACAACTTAATGATGCATTTCAAAGAGCTAGAAAAAAAAGAGGAAACCAAACCTAAAATTAGTAGAAGAAATAATAAGGATCAGAGTAGAAATAAATGAAATTGAGACCAAAAAAAGAAAACAATACAAAAGATCAATGGAACAAAAAGTTGGTTTTTTGAAAAGGTAAACAAAATAAACACACCTTTAGCCAGACAAAGAAAAATAGGGAGAAGACCCAAATACAAAGAAAGCTGAAAAAGGAAATACTACAACTGATACTGCAGAAATCCAAAGGATCATTAGAAACTACTATGAGCAACTATATGCCAATAAATTGGAAAACCGAGAAGAAATGGATAAATTCCTAGACACATGCAACCTACCAAGATTGAACCGGGAAGAAATATAAAACCTAAATAAGCTAGTAATAAGTAATGAAATGGAAGCAGTAATAAAAAGTCTCCCATAAAAGAAAAGCCCAGAACCCAATGGCTTTACTGCTAAATTTTTATGAAGCATTTGAAGTAAAACTACTACCAGTCCTACTTAAACTACTCCAAAAAAATTGAGGAGGAGGAGATACTCCTCATTCTAGGAGGCCTGTATCACCCTGATACCAAAACTAGACAAAGACACAACAAAAAAAGAAAACTATAGACCAATATTTCTGATGAACATAGATGCAAAAATCCTCAACAAAATACTAGCAAATCAAATTCA